GCCAGTGCAGTTCTATGCCTGAGACCCAGAGTTCTGTTCCTTCTCAGCCCCTTTGTACTTCAACTCTTACAGCATAGACACTCTACACACGATTTAAAATGCTATGCATTGATGAGTATATCTGAACAATTGTTCCTACCAATCCTTACACTCAGGTTGTAAAATCATGGCGACTATTCCAAGATTTTGTTTTGTTTTTCACTTGGGACAACTTGCACAGTGCTGAGTGAGCTTCTGGAATCAGAGCTGGGTGTTTGCTTCTGATATTAGCTGTGAATCTAAATATTTGTGCTACCGTCAGTTTACACAGAAACAAAGTCGTAGTTTTGGCTAAGGAACCTGGCCCTCAGAGTTCAGCCTCAGTAAGTTACCAGTGGCCTCTGTTTTGTCTTTGGAAAGAAAGAGGCCTGATTTAGGTGAGAGACAGTAGTAATGACGGGGAAATGGAAGGAAATTAAAATGATCGGAAGTCAGAGCACCTTGACACCTCTGTGCCACCAACTTTTGACATTCTAATTAGGGTATGTGCTTATGCAAATCAAGTCACTGTCACTCTTCCCCACCACAGCCCGGCGCCTACAATTGTTCCAGGGATGTTCCGGTGAGGCTGGCTGGTGACATGATTAAAACTCTCCCAGAATTTTAGAGCGAAGCGGAAGGGAGTCTCCAGAGAGGCCCTAGCTTGTGGGCAGCCATGGTACAGCTGTGCTTTTGTCCCGCTAGCCACCAGGACGCCTTGAATTTCTCCCATCAAGCAAAATAGAATGTGACACTGAAGTGTTGTCAAGCTTCCGTCCTTGAGAGTGGAGTGGGAGACGGCCAGGAGTCCACCACACACAGGCTTCAGGAAGTGGGTGTGCAGGGTGAGCAGGAGACAGAACACTTCACTTTGAGCATATAGGAAATAAAGTTGGCTGTGGGTTGATAACTGTTGACACTGCATGATGGACATGTGGCTGGGGGTGGGGGGCATGTCTGAGATAATATTGAAGAGTGAAGTAGATACTACCAAGAGAGCATCTGTCATGGTATTTTTCTTGTTTTCAGCTTTTTTGTTGTTGTTGTTTTGGTTTTTTTGTTTTCCTCCTGGGAACTTTGGTTCACAGAAATCTTCGTAGTTTGTTTGTTTCTGCACTTGTTGCTTGTTGTTTTGGTTTATCTAGGTCAGGATGGATTGAAGCTTGAAGTCCTCCCGTGTTTGCTTCCTGAGCACTGAGGTTACAGGCATGTGCCATCATGCCCAGCTCCTTTGGGTATTGTCCTTAACCCTAGGCCAGTACTGGTGATTGAATCTAGGACAGTGATTCTCAATCTTCCTAACACTGAGACCCTTTAATACAGTTCCTCATGTTTGGTGACACTCCACCCCCCCACACACAAACCATAAATTTATTTCATTACAACTCCAGAACTGTAATTTTGCTATGGTTACAAATTATAATGTAAATATCTGTGTTTTCCAATGGTTTTAGGTGACCCTGTGAGTCATTCCACCTCAAAGGGGTCTCAGCCCTCAGGTTGAGAACTGCTGATCAAGGGCCTCATACTTGCTAGGCCCTGTGGTTGCCAGGCTGCTCATGAGAGCTTGCAATCCTCTTGCCTTGACCTCCAGAGTAGCTGGCACTAGAGAGCCCAGCACCACCAGGGCTTTTTCTTGCTGGGTGGTAGTGCACAGCTTTAATCCTAGCACTCAGGAGGCAGAGGCAGGAAGATCTTTATGAGTTCGAAGCCAGTCTTGTCTAAGAAACCTTGTCTCAAAAAAAAAAAAAAAGAGAGAGAGAGAGAGAGAGAGAGAGAGAGAGAGAGAGAGAGAGAGAGAGAGAGAGAGAGAGAGAGAGAGAGAGAGAGAGAGGAGGGAGAGTGGGAGAGAGAGGAGGGAGAGTGGGAGAGGCAGTTGAGCAAAGGGCAAAAGAGCCTCACATCATGGAGACATAAGGAGATAAGAGAGCTCTCCACACTATTCTTCCAGAGGATAATCTGAGGTAAAAGTCAAGGAATCAATCACTCCACCCCACAGAAGAGTAGCATGGGGCGACATGATGGCTCTGTGGACAAAGGTGCCCATCACCCTGCCACCAAGTCTTGAGACCTGAGACTCCCCAGGACCCACGTGATAGAAAGAGCCAACTCCTGCAAGTTGTCCTCTAACCCCTTCCACGGGTGCATGGTAGTGTGGGTGTAAACACACACACACACACACACACACACACACACACACACAATGTTTTTTAAGAAGGCAGTGCAATCCCTTTGACTCCCAAAGAAAAATAAGTGAAGCTCCTACATTTAAAAAACAAAGAGTTGGGGGCTAGAGAGATGGCTCTACTTGTTGCTCTTGCACGCAGAGAACCTGGGTTCAATTCCCAGCACCCACATGATGGCTCACAAGTATCTGTAACCCCCAGGCAGGCACTCCTGTGATAAACATTCATATATAATAAATCTGATAGAAAAAAATGTTTATAGAGGGCTAGGCCCTGTTCCAAATGATAGACAGACCTTAAAGACTCCCCCATGGAAGGCCTCATTCTCCCTGGGGTGCAAAAAGGGAATGGGATAGGGGGTTGGTGGGGGGCAGGGGAGGAGGGAAGGGAGAGGAACTGGAATTGACATGTAAAACAAGCTTGTTGCTAATTTAAATTTTTTTTAAAAAAGAAAAGAAAAGAGTGCTAGGTAGCTACTTCCCTCATGAGAACCTGGCAGCCATGGGTGGGATGGGATGGGAATCTTGGCTGGTCAGTCAGTCCAGTGCTTTGGATGGATGCTTTTCAATATGGGGAACCCCATGGCATAGCATTCAGCACAAGAGAGCTAGCTGCAGGCCTTGGAGATCACCAGTTCTCCATGGTGCAGAAAGATGCTTTCTCCTCCATCTTCTAGGAGTGCCCATGTCTGGTCCGACAGTAATTAATGAGCTTGCATGAAGCTGCCCCAGGCAGGCTGAGCCAGGACTTCCTAGCTTTGCTCGGAAAATGGAGCAGAATCGGTATGGGCTAATTAATTGGTCTTCAGGTAGTAACTGCATCAAAGATACCTTGGGTACCCTGGGAATCCTGGGAGAGTCAACCAGCTCAAGATTGATGAAGGGCTGCTAAGGTCAGGCTGCAAAACACAAAACCATCTGCCGACCCTCTGGGACTGGTACCTGCAGAAAAGCAATTTTAGAAGAACAGGTGCTGGCTTTTAACTTAGCCCTTCTTTTCTTTTATGCTGAAATCATGACTTTTGCTGGGAAGAGCCTCCAGTTGGCTGGCAAAATTCACAAACTGTCGATTGTACCTTAAAATAACCTGGCCCAATGGTATTGCAATAACCTCGACTGGCTGCTGCCCAAAGTCACAGACCACACATCCCTAGCCACAGCCACTCTGGAATCCCCAGAGTGTTAAGCAGCATCAGGACACAGTGAGTCCCATGAACCGTTTCAGAAAATTGAAAGCTAAAAAATGCTGTTGCCCTCCAAACAGTGTACAGCTGCAAAACAGAGCCTGTGGCCCATCTCCTCTGCATAGCATGGGTGAGAGCCCACAAAGTTCTTGGAAGGTGACATTCACATGTTTCTGGTCCCTTGTAAGTTTCTCCTGGCTCAGTGGGCTGAATATTCAACTCTCTGTGATGATGATCCATGTGTTTGGTGACAATGTTTCAAAGACATCTTTGCTCCTTTAAAAACAGCACAAGGGGCCATCAAGATGGCTCAAAGCCCACTCCCAGGGACACATCTCCAAAAAAGGTGTGTTTAATCTCTCCCAAAAGAGTTCCACCAACTAGGGCCCAAGCATTCAAATGTACAAGCCTATGGGAGCCATTCTCATTCTGGCCACCCTAACCCCTACACACATAGGCACTGGCTTACACATTCACAAATAAAATGTAACAAGTTAAAGGAAGAGCTTCCCTTGAGAAGAGAGACCGGCTAGAGCACCCAGGAAGTTGCCTCCTTGGGATTTGACTGTGCTCAGTACCCACTGAGCATAGTAGGAGCTCAGCTAGGGGTAGACCTCAGCGCTGTCCACATGAGGCTAGTTTTGCAGGCTTGGAGGATGCCAGAATTATAGGATATGGAGGATTCCACCAAGATTTCTTTCTTTTCTTCTTTTTTTTTTTCATACCTTTTCCTCCCATACCTTTCCTTCTTTCTTTTTCGTCTTTTCATTGTTGTTTTTCGAGACAGGGTTTCTTTCCAGTATGGAGAGTCAGAGGAACTGGTTAATTTATTCAGAAGAAAGAAAGAAAGAAAAAGGGAATCTAGCAGTGAAAAGTTCCCCCATGCCACACCACACATGAACACATTCCTTTGAGGTAGATAGAAAATAAATAAATAGTGTTTAATAGAAAACCGGGAAACTCTTCATATTGAATGTGTGTCTCTGTTCATGCACTTATGCTATAGCGTGTGCAGATGCATGTGCACGCACGTGCCTTGCATGTGCACGCACGTGCCTTGCATGTGCAGGTAGAGGCCCGAGACCAATGTAGTGTCTTCCTCATATTTTTCCCACTAGGGGTTGAAGTCAGGGCCTCACACAGCTATGTCAGTGCTGTGCCCCGAGCCCCTTCCTCAGCCCGCTTTTTATTTTACTGTTATGATTACTTTTTGAGACAGGGTCTCACACACCCCACAGTGACCCACAACTCACTATGTGGCGAAGGATGATTTTGCACTCCTGTTCCTCCTGCCTTAGCTTCCTGAGGGCTGGGATAACAGGTATACACCATTACATCTGTCTTTAATGTGGTACTGGGGATGTAACACAGGGTTTCCTGCATGCTAAGCAGGCCCTCTACCAACTGAGCTACATATCCAGCCCTTTCACCTACATTAGAGAGCCATTTGACAGTGTCTACATTAAACACGCTGAAGCCGTTGCTCAGTAATTATATCCAAAGGGGTAGTGCCCACAGTAAAAATAAATAAATAAATAAATAAATAAATAAATAAATAAATAAATAAAATAAAAAATGTGGGAGTCTAGAGAAGACAAATACAAGAGTACAACTTCTTCAAGATTTATTTTTATTTAGTTATGTGTCTGTGTACATGTGTGGCCGCACATACCTGTGCAGGCAGATGCCAGAAGAACATGATGGATCCCTCGGAGCTGGAGTTACAGCTATTCGTGGGATTCTCAGCCTGTTACATGAGTGCTAGGATCCAAATCCCATTCCTCCTGATTGCACAGAAATGCTCTTAACTGTTGAGCCATCTCTCCAGTCCCCTGTTCACACCAATTTTATGCATAGTCCCCAAATGGAAGCCAGGGAAATCATCACAAACAGAAGACAGTATAAACAAGCTGTAACACATGACCAAACAACACATTCCCTCTTCGCAAAGCCTAACCAGAGAACTGTACATACACTGATGTGTGGAGCCAGTTCCTGCTGGAAAGTGGTACTGTGATTAATTAACGTAGCCTTGGGGACTCCTTAGTGTTGTATAAAATAAAGTTTGTTTTGTTCCCCTTTAAAAAATGGTGGGGTTATTGTTTGCTTGTTTGTTTTTTGTGGCCTCGTTTGCATGTTTAATTAGTGATCCTTCTGTGTCTGCAATTAGCACCATGGTGATGAATAAAATAACTCCTTTAAAGCCCCATTTGTGCATCAGAGGTGCACAACCAGGTGTAATTAATTCTTCATGAATAAATCATGGCTGATTAACTAATCTGTTTGTTACTAACATATTACGGAACAACTCCCACCTGAGCACAGGTAATTTTTCTCTGCCGGACAGAGCCAGAAGCTAACACAAAACCGACTCTTAAAAAAGTGCACTTCTAAGCAGCAAGTATTATTGGTGCAGTCGGGAGCTTCTGAGTTGTAGCAGTCAAATGCCATTGAGCTGCACAGGCGATCATCAAGAGAGTGATGGAAACGGCCCCTACATCTGGAGGCCGGAGTGCAGGGCAGGTCTCACACTAACCCATCCGCTAGAGGGACTGTTGAAATTCAAAGAGCTGGCCCCAGGCCGCAGAGCTCCACACACAAGTGGGTCCAGAAGAGGGCCGATGATTCTGCTTTCCTAGCAAGTTCCCATATGGTGCTGATGCTGATGAAGGGATCGTGCTCAGGGAACCCCCCTCCCTTTCTCTTCTGCTAGGGATGATTTACAATTGCTGTGCTTCCCAAGTCCTTTCTAGAGATTCTAACAGGTTTGTTGCAGTTTTTGCTTTTTGAAGCAGGGTCTCAGGGAGCCTGTGATGGCTTCAAATTCATTGGCTAGACAGCTGGAGCTGGCCTTGGAATTCTGATCCTTCCTACTTTTCCCTCACCAGTGTTAGGTTTACAGGTGTGTACCACATGCCTGGCTGGGTGGTGGGGAATCCCCACAGTCCTAGCTCTCACTTTCTACCTTGTTTGAGGCTGAGTCTCTGAGTGTTTGCCACTGTGCTGTATGTGTTGGCCTGTGAGTTTCCAGGTGTCGTGGGGTGGGGGGGTGGGTAGGGAGTGGATATGGAAGGATAATGGTTGGAGGTGGATTCTCCCATCTTGACAAAAGTATAATGGGATTACAGCCACTTGTCACTGCATCCATCTTTTACCGGGATTCCAAGGATAAGGCTTGCCTGGCAAGTGTTTCACTCATCAAGCCCCCAGCCCACCTAATACATCCTCTCTTCTATTAATTTTCTGAGTTTTGTCCTAGGTTTTAGTTATTAAACATGAGTGCAAAAATAAAGAAAATGATTTTTATTACATGTATTTGGTTTTTGTATATGTGTGAGTGTATGCATTCTACAGCAGCTATATATGTATATATAAGTCAGAGGACAACATGCAGGAGTTGGTTCCCTGTTTCTACTGTGTGGGTCCCAGGAATCGAACTCAGGTTGTCAGCCTTGAAGGCAAGTGCTTTAGCCACTCAGCCATCTTGCTAGCCCTCAAATCATCGTTTTGTTTCTTTTGGCTACACTGAAATTTTCATTGTCCTCAACTTTACATTGTCCCTCAACACAAACTGTTTCATTTTGCTATCTTCACAGCTCATACAGATCCAAATACGCCCCCCACCCCCATCACAGGACAAGCTCCCTAACAGTTTTTAGTCTATTAGTCTTAGTGTTGTTACATTGTGAGATGTTTTCCTGTGTGTCACTCAGGATGGTACTCTGAGCCAAGCAACTGCAGTCTTCAGTTCAGCTGTCCCACTTGCAAAAGACCATGCCAGCTGGGTTCCTTAACTTAGAGGGGTGGGGAGGTCACAGGACCCTCACCTGAGTATCTAGCCTCTCCTTCCACCTATGGTATGGAATGCTTCCCTAATCACAAACACTAAGGACGTGGGGGCTCCATCTGTGCCGCTACAGGAAAGTCATCATCGTTGCTGGTTAAAGCCTTTCCCGGTGCCACATTTCAGGAGGGCACAGCCATGCTTCTGCAAGTAATCCCTCTCTGGTGCTCCGTAAGTAAGCCCAATAGCTCACTGGTGCCCTGAGGGAACTTTGGTGGCCTTGTACCTCAGTTTCTCTTTGGAAACTCAGATGAGGGGGAGGAAATGTTTATGTGACCCACAAGGAAGGGATTTTTAGCAACATTGCATTTCCACAGAGCTACTAATTCTTCTGAACAGCTGTGAAATACTCTGTCAGGTACCCGAGTCTAAATTTAAGTGGCCTCGGCTGGCTCCTTATCAATGAACTTCTCCCTTTGGTTGGCAGTCATAATCAAAAGGAGTGACATCGGGTGGGCAGTGGTGGCGCACACCTTTAATCCCAGCATTTGGGAGGCAGAGGCAGGTGAATCTCTGTGAGTTCAAGACCAGCCTGGTCTACAAGAGCGAGTTCCAGGACAGAGCCGCAGAGAAACCCTGTCTCGAAGCCGCCCCACCACCACCCCCAAAAAAGAAGAGACAGCATCACTCCCTGCTGAATGAGGTTCCTGAAGATACACACAGGCAGGGACCAGAGCCCTTCATCAGCTAAGGAGTCAGGAGATGAGATGCTCTCTCACCTCCATCGGCCGCCTTCCCTTTCTGCTCTTCACAAGAGGGTTGAGGACACTGGTCGGTGGGCTTGCTGAAGCAAGCTCTGGGCATTTGTTGCTGGTTTGGCTTAGGGTTTTGTATTTGTTTTGGTATGGAGAAAACACTGTATTTAGCAGTGGCCACAGCCCAGCACAAGTGTCTCTAGACTGTCAGTGTTCCCTCTAAGACAATAGCAGCGCCGCCCTTCATGTCAACTCGTCCATCAGGTCGCAGGGAAATGTCCAGTTCCCCTCCTCGGCAGGAACACTGAAAGGCTTAAAGAGAACACAAGAGTGGGGCCAGTTAAGAGCATATCCCTGTGATTAACCAGCCATACAGGGAAGGAGTGATCGTTACAAACCCAGGCCAGTCTCCAGAATAAATCCCTTCATGTGTCCAGTCTCCCCATTGTTTGTGTGTGGTGGGCCCCCCCCCCCCCCCCGCCCCTGCCATTCTCCTGCAGACCCAGAGGTCCACACACAGCTGATGTACACACACTGCCCGGTCCTTTCCTTCCTGGACCTTTTAGTGCGCCTCTGAGAAGGCCCCATCTTCAGCCCTGAATTAAACAGAGGGAGTTTGTTCTCTCATAACATATTAAAGCAACCATATGTGCCAGGCCCACCAAATCTGGCCTCAGATTTCTAGGAGCTCTGGAAGTCATTACACTCACCCAGGATAGAGAAAAGGGATTGTCCATCTCAAAGGTTACATACCAAGCTAATTACACTGATCACAATTTATTAAATACTTACAGTATCAGAAATATCTGTGTTTGGGGAGGCAGGGGTGGAAAGGGTTGGGAGTGGTAGGGGTCACTGAAAGGGAGATGTTTCCAGGATATTTCACACAAGTGATAAAATATATGTAACACACATGTACACACATATGTATATGATCTACTTTTTTTTGTTTTTTGGTGTTATTTTATTTTTGAGACAGGGTTTCCTTGTGTAGCCCTGGCTGTCCTGGAATTAGCTCTGTAGACCAGGCTGGCCTTGAACTCAGATATCTGACTATCTCTGCCTCCTGAGAGCTAGGATTAAAGGTGGGCACCACCAACAACCAGCTCAGATCTTATTATGTTTTTAAGGAGCTAGTGCACTTGAGAATAGATACGAGCCTAAAATGAGGCAAATAAATTTGAGCTGGGCCTAGTATTGAACAATCCAGCCCTTAGGAGTTATATGCAAATGGATGGCTAGCCTGGTCTACATAGCAAGACACTGTCCCAAAGAGTTGAGGGATGGGCTCTGACTGTATGGTTGAGCATTTACAAAGCCCTGAGTTGAACACACAAGCACCCAAAAAGGAGGGGAGAGAGGGAAGTATCTGCCCTACCTCGCATCTCTTTCTTCCCAAGCTGCTGGGACCAGTAACTGCTGAGAACGGTGTGCGCCGATCCTGAAAAGTAAGACGCTATTAGAATAGGCAAAGAAAACGAAGTGTGTGTCCCTGATTGCGTTATGTGAAAAATCACTTACGCGGTGTGGCTACACCTTAGATGACCTAATCCTAATGTCAACCAGGCCACAGCAGAGTGTGAGGAAAGGAAGACGGGGTGTGTGTGTGTGTGTGTGTGTGTGTGTGTGTGTGTGTGTGTGTTATGAATCCACTCTCCCAAATTGTCTATCAACTATGCCTTACTGTTTCTGAAGGATTAGACTCCAGGGATTTGCTTGCTTGTTTTCTGACACACAGGGTTCCACGTCACTCAGGCTGGCTGGAATTCTTTATGTAGCTGAGACTGATCTTGAACTCCTGGTCCTCCTGCCTCTACCTGCTGAGTGCTGGGATTACAGGTGTGAACCCTGTCTTAAAAAACGGTGTGGGGGCCAGTGGCACAATGGATAACCCGTCTGACTATGAAAAACGGGGGAGAGGAGAAGAAAGTAAAAATGCTACAATTTTATTTATAACTGGCTGAAAAGTCTCTAGGGAAGGGAAGAAAGGAATAAAGTTCTCTCTTCTCACCCATCAGACAAGCTTACTGAGCATTATGGGATGTCTAAGTATGGTAACCAACATTCTGCTTTGCCCAAGACTGTCTTAGGGTCCCTCAATACCACTCTACCCTAGCTGGCCCAAAGATCTTCACCTTCTAGAAAACAGTACACACAAAAGTGCACTGCTTGTCATCCTTGGAGAAGCAGCTATGTGTATGCACGCTGCCATGATATGCTGGCTAGTTTTATGTCAACTTGACATAAGCTAGAGCCACTGGAAAGGAGAGAACCTTAACTGAGAAAATGCCTCCATAAGATCTGGCTGTACAGGATTTTCTTAATTAGTTATTGATTAGGGAGGGCACAACCCATCGTGGATGTACCATCCCTGGGCTGGTGGTCCTGGGTTCTATAAGAAACAGGCTAAGGAAGCCATGATGAGCAAACCAATAAGCAGACCCTCCGTGGCCTCTGCATCAGCTCCTCCCTCCAGGTTCCTATTTAGTTTGAGTTCCTGTCCTGGCTTCCTTCAGGGATGGACTACAATGTCGAAGTGTAAGTCAAATGAACCCTTTCCTCCCCAACTTGCTTTTGGTCTTGGCGTTTCGTCACAGCAATGGGAACCCTAAGATACATGGGGAGAGACTCAGTGGACTTCATAGATGCTGTGGGCATTTTCTCCAGTCTTATGCAATACTTTGCTGAGCTTGTGTTCGTGCACTTTGTTTCAGAGAACTCAATGAAGTACCAGAACCACATGGCTCCAAGCATTTGGAGCCTCTGCCCAGCCCCTTTCAGCCTTGAACTCCATTTTCCCCAGCAACCCCCTCCATCAAGCACCCCTACCCTTGGCCACATAGATCACTATTGTCAGAGAGGGTATAAATACATGGTGTGACATTCTTGCTCATCTTTGATGTCACTCCTCTGCTTCCAACCGGTACAAGGTCTGCAAGTGTTGGCTCAGGGTTCTAGGTGCATCGCTAGTGAAGGACGTAGGTCTGTGGATGTAGCTCTGTGAAGGAGCCAGTGCCTAGCAAGCAAGGCGACCCTGGGTCTAATCCCCAATATTAGGAGAGGTAGAGCAGGAAGAAAAAGAGGCAGAGACTGAACATAGCTAATGTTTGTTGGGCATTTACCATGTGCCAGGCACTGTATTTCCCCCCTCAGGCATGTGCTGTGCTGACCCAACCCTCTGAGGCTATTAGTCACATCACATAGAGGAGGGACGGAGACTTTCAGGGTTTGTCACCTGTCCAGGTGATAAGAACAAGGAAGGCAGGGATGCAGAACTTCCTTTTTAAAGCATCTTTTCATAGATTTCAGTGAAGGGGTAGGGGGGGGAGAAAGAAAGATGGAAGGACAAAGGCAGCCCAAGCCACCCAGCCGGGCATGGTGGCACATAGCTGTAACCCCAGCATACGTATGTAATCCAGCCCTTGGAAGGTAGAGGCACGAGGAGGCAGCAGGAAGCCAAAGTTGTCCTCGGTTCATGCTGAGTTCGAGACCAGCCCAGGTTACACGAAACCCTATTTCAGGAAACAAAATCAAAGCAAGGCATCTGAAGTGTCACATGAAAGCTTTTTGCTTTAGTTTCTTTCCTTGTAGCTGGGATAAAATATTGTGACAGAAGCAACTTCAGGAGCAGAGAGTTTATTCTGGCTCACGGGTCAAGGCGTGGCCCTTCATAGCTTCCCAGTTGGCTGCAGGAGCTTGAAGCAGCTGCTCACATCACAGCCACAGTCAGGAGAGGGCAGTAAATGCAGCTGCTGCTTAGCCACTCTCCATTTACACAAGCCAGGATCCCAGTCCGGGAATAAAGGTAGGCTTGCCCACTTAACATATTCAAGGTAATTCCTCAGAGTTGTGACAGAGACCCATCTCCCAAAGTGGTTCTGGACGCTGTCACATCGACAACACCAAGCACCACGGTGTGTAGCTATTTGTATTCCTCCTCTTCCCTAGTCAAGTCACCCCTGATTGTAAGTAAAGAATACCTGTTACCGGGTCTTCAGGCAAACCAACCCATGGTGCAAAGTATCTGGAGTAGAAGTCATATTGGGGTGTCTGCCCCTCAGGCTGTCCTCTGAGAGTGAGAATGAGTCCTTTCACCTTCCCTGTCTTTTCAATTCCAGGCAGAGGCTTTGTGTTCACTTTCAGGGTCTCTAGAAAGGACCTTGAGCACAAGCAGAAGGGATCAGCAATAAGCATTTCATAGACCACCCCCAATACTGCATAGAAAAGAGGCTGAGCTGTGCCCAGATGGCTCAGCAGAGGGAAGGGAGAGCCTAGCCTGCCTTTGGTATCTGCCTATGGGAAAGAAAGTGGTTGGTCCAGGCATGATGGCAGATGCCTCTAATCCCAGCACTCAGGAGGCAGAGGCAGGTGGATCTCTGTGAGTTTGATGTTAGCTTGGTCTATAGAGCTTGTTCCAGAACAGCCAGAGCTATACAGTGAGACCATGTCTCAAAAGAAAAGTCATGTGTTGGAGATAGCAGAGCTAGAAACCTGGGTGCTGGCATGTAAATGGTTAAACATGGCATTTACCTGCTGTAAGAGTCGCTGAGCCGGACCAGGAGTTTTCGGGTATCTGGAGAGTACTGGATATCCTGGACTAGGGTGTCACCTATGGCTGCCTGTAAAGCAGATCAAAAATGCCTCAGAGGGCTGACAAGATGGTTTAATGAGAAAAGGTACTTGCTGAATTCAGTCACCCAGACCCAAATGACTCCTGCAAGTTGTCCTCTGACCTCCAACCTCACACCATGGCTTGCCCAGCATGCATGGAGCCAAAGCACCACATAACCAGGCAAACGGATGAGAAGTCATGGTCAAGCTGCAAAGATAGCCCAGTTGGCAAAGTGCCTGCTTTGCACTCATGAGGACCTGTGTTTAACTTTGTTTGGTTTTTATTTTTTGAGAAAGGGGTTCTCTGTGTAATGGCCCTGGCTGTCCTGGAACTCACTTTGTAGACCAGACTGGCCTTGAACTGACAGAGATCTGTCTGCCTCTGTCTCCCAAGTACTGGGACTAAAGGAGTGTGCTAACACTGCCCAGATACAATACATATTTTTAAAGCCAGGCATAATGACCAACAGTTGTTATCTGACTGTTGGGGAGACAGAGACAGGAGGTTCCCCAGAGCTTGCTGGAGCTCCAGAACAAAGAGAGATCCTGCTTAAAAGGAGGTTGTGTCTGGAAAGATGAATAAGAACGCTTGTGGACATGGATCCCCAGCACCTACCTACATAAAAGGCCAAGTATGGCCACATGCACACACATACCTGTAAACCCTGGAGATGAGGGGAGGTGACACAGGAGACTTTCTGAGGCTATTTTGTGTGTGTGTGTGTGTGTGTGTGTGTGTGTGTGTGTGTGTGTGTGTAAGTGTGAAGGTCAGAGGACAAGTCGCAGGCGTTAGTTCTCTCCTTTTGGTACCAGGCCTACCCTCCGGTTGGATAGTGATATGGCCGCTACAGCAAGGCTTTGCCTCTAAGCACTAAGATGCTCCAGTTCCCGTGGCTGAGGCCCCTCTGCCTTAAATGCTATTTGCAGTTGTGTAGTTGTTTGTTTTCAACAGAAATATTCCCTCCTGGAGAGGGGAGGAAGGCTCCTCAGACTCAAGAAGCAAAGGAAATCCAGAAAATTACAGACTCACAAGGCTGGTTCCTAAGGCTATGAAAGCATCAGCAGTTGTTCTCAAGTGGAGACTCTGGGATGGAACTGCCCACAGGTTGTACAGGGAGCTCCAGGGATGCAGCCACTGTCCCCCATGCTGGAAAGGGTCTTTTAGTGACCCAGCTCCTTTTGGGATCACAACAAAGCTCACTGAGCTAGACTCCATGAGATTGTTTTTTTGGTCAGCTCTGTGTGCCCATCTAGGGTAAATGGTCACATGTTCACATTTCCCAGTTAAAGTCAGTCCCATCACAGCAGGGGAGAAAAGGACAGTGGTACACATGTGCGGAGGGCTTCTCAGCAGAGTCCCAAACATGTTTTTCTAATGGTCTCCCTTGCTCTGATGTGGTCCCTTCCATTTTCCCCTGTGCACCCGTGGTTCTAGACCCTCCATAGGACAACTGCAGTGATTATCTCACTGGGTGACACTGAAAATAAAATGAAGCCGGGTGGTGGTAGCACACGCCTTTAATCCCAGCACTCGGGAGGCAGAAGTAGGCAGATCTCTGTGAGTTCAAGACCAGCCTGGTCTACAAGAGCTAGTTCCAGGACAGTCTCCAAAGCCACAGAAAAACCCTGTCTCAAAACAGGCCTCCCCCAAAGAAAATAAAATGAGATAGTGTGGGTAAAACACTTAGCACATGGCATCACCCACAGAGCTGGCTCTCGAAGCCATCTTCTTCATAAGAATTATGGTGGAAGTGATGGCTCACACACTATAGACCCACAAAAAGAACAAGCAATATGTCTTGTCCTCACTGGGTTGCACCCAGACTTTCTTTGCCCTCCTCCTCTCTCTCAGTGTCCAACACTCAAACTGATGATAGTGACAACTGCCAGCACTTTCCAACCTTTCTTTTTGCCTTTTTTTCTACATATTTCATGGACTGGTCTTTCCTATAGAAAATCTAACATTGGTGCAATAGTGACATGACCCTTATGGGGAGTAATCAACCACTTTCTCATTACACTAGAGGCCTGCTTCACGGGCTAGAACTCATTTCTCATACTGTGAGCCCGGTTAAGTGGCCATGGCTGGGAAGGTCAAGAGCCCTAAGAGGGGACCGACTACTGTGGTTTTGGTAAATGGGCATGAGTCACACAACCTTCTAAATACTTGTGTTTGTATCTATAGGTCAGTGCTATCCTCAGCCTTTGTCAGAGAAGCTTAGTTTTACAGTAAGTAGTGGTTAATGCACAGACTCGTCATTGGTCAAAAGCTGAAATGAAGTAGCTTTTGAGTGTGTGGCCCTAACTGAGACATATATCATTATCTATTCCCAAGGTTCAGAGAACACAGTAAGAAGGAGGAGATATGGGAAGACTGTAAAAGTCAAAGGATGGAAGAGCACTCCAGATGGATCTTCTAGACATGGCATGCCCACTGCACTCATGAGCTCATGAACACCACAACAGCCATGGCTGTCTGCAAAACATCAGGCTGGTCAACATTGCATCGTAGATAGGGAGGAGCTCATGAGGTCCACAGCTTCCCCGGTAGACTATTGGCAGTTAATGGCAACTGAAGACAGGGTGTCATTTTGTCAGTGTTATGACCACTGATAAATTGCCCAGATTCCAGTAAGTAACAACCACCTCTACTCAGTGCTCATGCAAGCAACTCTGTTTAAACTGTGTGGGACAGACAGACACACACATACACACAGAGAGGGGGGGAGGAAGAGGGAGAGGGAGAGGGTGAGGGAGAGGGAGAGGGACAGACAGACAGACAGACAGACAGACAGACAGACAGACAGACACACCCAGAAGTGTGCAAAGTAGGGAAATTGTTGGAAAGAACTGTTTCAGTGGGAGAGGGAGAGGGAAGAGAGGAATGGTAGTGGGAGAAAAAAAAGACCAAAATTTGTTCTATACAGGTCTGAACTTGCAAAGGAATTTTTAAAGAAAGAAAATCCCCAGTTCTTGAACTTTCATGGGCACACCATCACCCCTGGCTGATTTCTCCTTCCTTCTGGAATGAACAGAAATCCAACCTTTCATTGTTCAAGGGGGCTGAGGATGCCTGATACCTTCTTCATTGCCTCCTACAGGTCTCTCTCTCTCTCTCTCTCTCTCTCTCTCTCTCTCTCTCTCTCTCTCTCTCCCCTCCCCCCTCTCTCTCCCTATGCCCTAAACTCCCTATCTTACTCCTGTCCCTCAATGGAGGTTATATTGCTCATAGACATAGTTAAATGTGTTGGGTGTGGTGGCATGAACCTGTCGTCCCAGCAAGCATTTGATAGGCAAGAGAATTTCAAGTTCAAGGCTAGCCTAGGCTACACAGTTATTACAACTCTATGAAAGTGAGTAATCTTACCAAATAAATACAATACTAACATGCTAATCTGAAATTACCTAAGCTTTCACGGCCCATTTTGATGGGGATCACATTATGTCAGAACAAAGTCCAACAAGAATGCAAAGTAAATTCTGAGTACCTGTGAGAAAACAAGACAGGAGTCTTGTAACCTCAGTGTCTTCAAAAACATGGAATTGTTCTGAAATATAGTTTTATGCCTCTCCTAACTGTAGTGGGTAGGAGTGAGTTTACATCACATTTATTCATTACAACTGTAATGAATATGGTTAATATGCCTCTATGAAAAAACATGTTTGCCAAGTGCAGCTTGGCCTTGTGAATATCCACTTGACTCAGGTGACTCTTCTTAACCCTCAGAGGATGAATAGTCTGATTCTCTGAAGAAAAGTTGACTATTGCATGAGGCTTTAGTCCACCTCACGTTTAGGCCCCACTCTCCCAGGTTCACACACCGATCAGAGTGGTAAACAACATTACACCAGAGCTTTCTGTTCAAACACGAACAAGTGACCACCACATCACAAGGCTCTAACTGGATTCTTTCCACCAACCTTTATCAAGCCTTCCACTTCATGGAAGTCCTAGAAGAGGGAAAGACATATAGTCAGTGCTGAACAGGAGAGCTGCAGGCTAAACACAGTTTGTGGAAATAACTGTATGGATTACAATTAGACTTAAATACAATAAGAAAGAGCTAACCTGGGGGAAGGCTGGGTAGAGAGGAAAGTCTAAGACAATCCCGTCCTCTGCTCTTCTGGCCTTTAGTTCCCCACTCATGGTGGCAAAGGTTAGAGTGCTGTTTGTGTTCTCTGGACAGAGGAGGAATCAAGCAAGAATCAGAAAATAAGCTTGGTACAGGGGACTTCCCTAACCCCCAATACTAGGAACTGAATCTGGCACCACACAGATTCAAGGCAAGTGACCTAACACTGAGCTATATAATCCCAGCCTACTTTAAATGGTTTTTAAAAAACATTTTCTGTTGGGCTAGAGAGATGGTTCAGTGGTTAAAAGCACTGGCTGATCTTCCAGAGGACCTGGGTTCAATACCCAGCAAACACATGGTGGCTCACAACCATCTGTAGTGGGAACTGATGCCCCCTTCTGACATAGAGGTGTACATGCAGGTAGAGCACGTATATTTTTTAATACATTAAAATATATATTTGCTGTTTTATTTTTCAAAGCAAGATCTTAACTATGGAACCCCCACTAACCCGGAACTCCCTATGTATGCCAGGCTGGTTTTGAACTCACAAAGACCTATTTGCTTCTCCCTCTAAAGTACTGGTGGTCCATACATGGGATACTAGTACTGGAAATATGACGGCAGGAATGTCAAGAGCACAGCATCTTCCATAGCTACAGAGAGGACCCAGGGCAAGCCTGAGACATAAGTACCTGTCTCAGAAAATTATACATACGGGAGCCAGGTGTGGTGGCACACATCTTTAGTCCCAGCATTGGAGAGGTAGAGGCAAGAGGAGCTCTGTTTGAGACCAGTCTGGTCTATAGAGTAAGTTCCAAGACAGCCAGGACTACCTGGCTGAGAGAAAAACAACATATATGCATGCATAATACAAGTATACACAAAGTAAAATTCGGATTACTTATTTTGTGAAACAGCACAGCCGCAGAGGCCAGGGTGGCATGGCCGCACAGAGGAACCTCACTCACTGGTGTAAACCACCTTAGTCCAAAGCAGGAACCTTCAGAGGAGGGAAAGCCAGAGTGACACAAGTCAGACCCACAGGGGCGAGTCTTCAGCTTCCAAGCATCTTCTAAATCTCTCGCTGGTGTGGTTAACAGCAATTGTTATCTATCAAAGGACAAATGCAGACTAAACAGACATCCACAGGCTCCCTGGGGCTGGGTCTGCAGCAGAAACAGTAGGTTCACAAACACCCTCTTAGTCTATTCGGGTTGTTGTAACAGAACTCCACTGATTGGGTGACTTGGAGAAAAGAATATCTGTAATAGACCCGATAGCTTGCAGGTTCAGGGTCTAGGGGCTGGCACCTGGGGAGCATCCTGTCACTGTATCAGCCCAGGGCAAGGCACAGACACACGAGGGCGCCAAACACCCATGTCCCAGAAGCCCACTCTTGAGATACCAACCCGCCCTCACAGAGGTGACACCACTTTTTTATCTTCTATTAGGATCTACCCCCTGGGGACCCATTTTTCCAATACATGACCTTAGGTGGTGGGAAACCTTCAACTTTAAACTTAGACTTAACTTCAATACGCTGCCTCCTATATGAACTAAAACCCACAATTGCTATCTGCAGGAAGATAATACATAAGCATCTCCTTAAACCTCCCTCCCAAGACTCAGCTTCACCAGCCACGCAGGAATCTATGAAAAATGTGCATTTACTTTGTGTGAAGTTGTCACTTGGTTGCAGTTTCCTGATGAAAGCTGTTTCGGAGAGGTTCATTTCCCTTGCAATTTGTTGATGGGCGTCTTCAGTCAATGTCTTAATTGGGAACAAAAGATTATGGAGACTTTGGAAACACAACTCAGACTTCCTTGCATGGCCAACTACCCTTAGGTAACAGCAGTTTACTCTCAACTTATGAAATACATGTTACGTGCCGAGTAATTCCAGGCATGTTTATGCAGACAGTTTTTCAGACGCCCAGGCCTACAGCACCTATGTGGGATCAGAATGTGCAAAGCCACAGGTGTGAAAATCGGTAAAACTGGGTCAGGTTCCTCTTTGTCAATTTGTTGTCAAATAAAAGATCTTCTGCTCTTCTTAATTCACTGTTTCCAAGTGCAGGGAATCAACCCCAGGGACTCATGCATGCTGGGCAAGTGTCCTGTCAATGAGCTATAGCCACAGCCAATTTTAATTAATTGATTACTTTTTCTTTGTACACAAGTACTAAGATGCCCAGGTGGGTCTTCAACCTGTGATTCTTCTGCCTTGGCCTCTTGAGAAGCAGGGATTGGGGGCTGCACACCCAGGCCTGGTTTTTTGCTCTATATTTTTGTTGATTCAGGGTCTCATTGTAAAGCTCAAGCTGTCCCGGGATTCACTATGTATGTAGCCCAGGTTATCTCCATACATATAAACCCTCTTCCTCATCTCCTAATTGCTGAGATTTCAGGTATGTGCCACCATCCCCACCTACCATTTTCCTCTAATTTGCATTTTTAAAAAGAAATTACATCTGTGGGTAGGGGCTGGACATGTGTACTTTTGAATACCATGATGCCCTTGTGGAGTTAAGAGAAAAACATGTGGAAGTTAATTTTTTTTCCTCCCACAATGTGGGTCCTGAAGATCCAACTCTGGTCATCAGACTTGGCAGCAAGTGCTTTTTCCTCGGGAACAATCTCACTCAGCCCCAGCATTTTTTTATTTTTATAAAGTTAAACCCACTAATACATACAAAACGCTTCTCCAGCATCAACACTCCACAGTACTTAAAATGAGACCTATGCTAGTTTCTGATAAGAAAAGCCTTTTCTTCTATGCCAAGCGGTCAGTTTAACATTCTGGGGCATGTATGCCACAGTATGCATGTGGAGGTCAGAAGACAACCGTTTGGACTCAGCCCTCACCTTCCATCTCTAACTGGGCTCCAGGGATTTAACTCAGGTCATCAGGATTGTGCAACAAGCACCTTCATTGGCTGAGCCGTGTTTCTGACCTTTCAAGCAATTAAACAAACAAACAAAGTTGAGAACAGTGGCCCATACCTGCAGTCCTGCTACTCAGGAGGTGGACACAGAAAGATTAAGTTAAAATTTTACTGAGGTTTATGTTCTGGAGTGGAAGAGAATTTAGAGAACCATGCAAATTCTTATTAGCTGGTAAAAACTGAATATTTAAATCCTTCAAATCTCAAGGATATTACTCGGGTATACAGACAGAGCGTGTCATCATCGCCCACCCCAGCCCCACTGCTGGCAAATATATATTTCTGACTTGGAGACGTGGGACTATACTCATTGTAGCGGAAGTGCGGGGCAGCCAGTTACACGTGAAAGGGGAGAGAGAGCAGGCCTGGCTAAGGAGGTCAGAGGACAGTTTTCAGGTGAACATCAAACACAAGGCAGTGCACTCTTCTGCCACTGCACTGTGCAGTCTGGGTTGCTGGCCTACAAGCTTCCGGAAGATTCTCAGGTCTCCATTCCCCTCTCTTGGTAGGAATGCTGGGAATACAGGTGTTTTCAATGTAGGCGCTGGGAACTGAACCCTAGTGAGCTGAAATCTGCTCATCAGACATACATGGCTCACACCTTCATCTGCCCCAGTGATTGATTCTCACCCATGAACCTGAACTGTCCTTGAGTGATTCTCACCCATGAACCTGAACTGTCCTTCCAGGGTGCAGCTTGGCCCTGGAAACCTGACTAGGGAGAGGGTCTCTATAGGGGACAGTCACAGGCTTTGATCAAACCTAGGAGGAGGCAGCTGCAACCCCATATTCTAGACATTCTGTCAGCGTTTCCACACAGACCAGAGGATGCCTGGCCTCTTCCTGAGCCTTACTCAGGGCTTCTTTGATAATTCCCATGGATCTGAGCACTGGGATCCTTGACATGGCTGTGGTCATAGCAAACAACACATACTCACCCAGGACTTCATCCAGTGCCCACAGTGTCGCCCACAGTGTCGCCCACAGTTAGGGAGGGTCTCTCCAATACAAGTAAAGTTATCTGAGGCCTCCCTCTCAGAAATGTCAAGGCTGTGTCTCCGAGGCCACTCTAGAGCTTGTCAAGATGACCATCATCATAGGAAGCTCCCTGCTTCCTACTGCCCAGGAAACAATACAACAGTCACCCAGAAGGCCAAGGAATATTTAACTATCTCGCTGGCCATAATCCTAATCAAAAGCCTATATATTTCTAATATAAGTTCAACTAATTCATTTATTTGGGGGAGGCGCATGTCCACCATGGCACACCTGTGAGGTCAGAGGTACATTTGCAGAGGAGATTTCTGCTTCCACCATGTGACTCCCAGGGATTGAACAGGTCTTTGGACTTGGTGTCAAGGAACTATCCCCTACTGAGCCATCATCTCAGGCAAAAGAGCTATGTATTACAATGAAGATTTTTGGCAAACTAACTTTTCCAGGTACTAGAGATCAACTCCTTCTAGTTTCTCCTTAATTTCTTGAATTAATAAATTACCTTATTTTCTTGATCCTAAAGAGATTTTTAAAACTATTTTGATTATTTTAAGAGAGAGAGAGAGAGAGAGAGAGAGAGAGAGAGAGAGAGACTGAGACTGTCTATCTGGGTTTGTACACATGAGTGCAGAGCTCCTGGAGGTCAGAAGAGAGTGTCAAATCACCTGCAATTACAGCCCTGGGCCCCCACTCCCTGCTGCTGCCTCTTCAATCAGCTCCAGTTCCTCTGCATGGGAATGTCTGTGGTCCTGACTCAGTCCTGTCATAACCTGAAGACATGACCATCACCGATATGACAGAGAACACAAGCCAAAGGAGCAAACACTCAGGATGGTCTCACGTCTTTTCCACAAGTCATGGGCTCCCCACACATCTAGGATTTCAGGCATGGGCCTTGAGAACGGAGTACTTACATTTTCCAGGAGGCAGACGGCAGCAGGATTGCCACGGAAAGCTGTGGTTGTGAACGCATCTGCTATGAAAATCGGGAGCTTCATTTTCCTCACTGGCTCTGTCTGCAAGGTCTCGGCCTTGCTGGGAGCCTGCTTCACTTCCTGTTGTTCCAAAACAAAAGCCAGAAAGTTAATGTTTCACTGGTGCACACATGCACACAGTTAATAGTTTCCCAGATACAAAGCCAAACAATTATTCTGACGTAACTCCTGCTTAAGACACCAGTCCTCTCATGTTTTCAGCCTTTCCATTAATTTAGCTTTGCAGAGAGAATCTTAGTGCAGGGCAAGTGAGCACTTGCTTGGTGTGCACAGAGCCGTGGTTCCATCCCAGCACTGAAGGAGAGAAGGCTGCAGATCCAGCTCAGTCACTAGTGTTGTTTAGCGTGCACAAAGCCCTGGATCAAATCCCCTGTGGGCCTTAAACAGGACATGGTGGCACACATCTATAATCCTAGCACAAGGAAACTGAGGCAGGAGAGACAGAAAGGTTCAAAGCCATCCTCGGCTACACGGAGTTCCCAGGGCAACCTGGGATATATGAGACCCCATCACAAAACAATAGAGTTTACCATCGTACACAGTATATGAAAGTTTAATGTCCTTTAGTTTGAGAGATAAAGAGAAAACATTGGGTTTGTTTGTTTCTTGGTTTTGGTTTTTTTATTGTTGTTTGCTTCATTTTTGTCTTTTGAGGCTGGGTTTCTCTGTGTAGCCCTGGAATTCCTGGAACTCCGTAGACCAGACTTGCCTTCTAACTCAGAGATCTGCCTGCCTCTGCCTCCCGAATGCTGGGATTAAAGGCGTGTGCCACCACCGGCTGGCAAACATTGCGTTTTCATCAGCAGGAAACAACATCAAATCACCCTCTTCTTGTTTTTTTTTTTTTTATTCTTTGTAAAGATGGGGTTTTACTATGCAGCCTTTATGGCCTGGATCTTTTTTTTTTCTTAATCATTTTTTTATTTGAATTAGAAACAAGATTGTTCCATGTGACAATCCCAGCTCCCTTCTCCCTCCTGTCCTCTCCTACCACCACCCCCAACTAAAACCCTACCTATCACATATCCTTTCTTCTATTCTTCCCCTGACTCAACCTTTCTGCTCCCTCATGACCTCTGCATCCTTCCTCTTCTTCCCTTCTCATTCTCCTAGCTCCCTCCCCCCTCTTCCCGTGCTCTCAATTTGCTCAGGGGTCAATTTGCTTGACCCTTCTCCCATCTCCAGGGGACCATGTATGTCTCTTTTAGGGTCCTCCTTGTTTACTAGCTTCTCTGGCAGTGTGGATTGTAGGCTGGTAATCCTTTATGTCTAAAATCCACATATGAGTGAGCACATATCATGTTTGTCTTTTTGTGATTGGGTTTCCTCGCTCAGAATGGTTTCTTCAAGTTCCATCCATTTGCCTGCGAATTTCAGGATTCCATTGTTTTTTTTTTCCACTGAGTAGTACTCCATTGTGTAAATGTACCACATTTTCTCTATCCATTCTTCAGTTGAGGGGCATCTAGGATGCTTCCAGTTTCTGGCTATTACAAATAGTGCTGCTATGAACATGGTTGAACACGTGTCCTTATTGTATGAATGTGCTTCTTTTGGGTATATGCCTAAGAGTGGAATTGCTGGACCTTGTGGTAGACTGATTCCCATTTTCTTGAGGAGTCGACATACTGATTTCCAAAGTGGTTGTACAAGTTGATGGCCTGGATCTTAAGGCTGGTCTTGAACTCAGAGATCTGCCTGCCTCTGCTACCCTAGTTCTGGGAATAAAGTCCTGTGCCACCACACCTACCTTCCCTTTCTCCTTTTGAATTTACTTGGCTGCTAGAATAGTGTCTGGTACACCACAAATATATACTGAAAATATTTAATTGGCAATATACTCAGAACACATCTTAACTGAACTTTAGAGTCTCAAAGATAATCAGGAGGCTTGGTCATTGAAGCCATCTTCCAGGATGTGTCTCCATCAGTAGCATCACTGTTATGTCACTGAGTCTCAGCTTGTTTATGTGAATGTTTGAAGATGTCCTGTGGGTTGCACAGAAAGGACAAAAGCTTCTCTAATGGCACATGGTTCCCTTCTACACTCCTGGGCCTCACACATGACTGCTAACTGCTCTGCCACTCAGCTTGTTTACTGTTATGTGGGGTCAGGATCTTGCCATATTCTCCATGTTGGCCTTGAACTGTCTGTGCAACCTAGGCAGACCTTCAGCTTGCAATCCTCCTGTCTCAGCCTCCTGAATAGCTGAGATTACAGGCTTGTGTCTGCTGGCATCGGGTTTTCACAGATGTAATGGAAGCTTGTGAGCCAGACTCAGTGGCACAGGCCTATGATACCAGGAGACTGCAAGAGGAGGACTGCCCTGAGTTCAAGGCCAGACTGGGATATTTCAGTCTCAAAGAAAAAAATATTTAAGAAATATTATGTTGAGGGTTGGCTGATCTTCAGCCTTACTGGTTCCATCCATCAGCTCTTACTTCCTGGGAGAGAAAATACATGAACTCCAGTAACCAGAGTTACATCTGTAAATTTTTGAAATGTCAGTTAAATTGTTTTCTGAAATTACATGTGTGTGTGTTTGTGTGTGTGTGTGTGTGTGTTGTTGTGTGGTGTGTTTATGTGTGTGTGTGTGTGTGTGTGTGTGTGTGTGGTGTGTGGTGTGTTTATGTGTGTGTGTTTGTGTGTGTGTGCATGTGGTGTGTGTGTGTGTGTGTGTTTGTGTGTGTGTGCATGTGGTGTGTGTGTGTGTGTGTGTTTGTGTGGTTAAGATCAGACACCCAGGTATGCTAAGCATACCTTTTACAACACAGATACATCCCTTCCCCATTCCTGAACTAATGTTTTTAAGAGATGAGAAGGGCTTAAGGGGTCCCTCTGCCTCGCCTTCTCCAGGACAGTCATAGTTTTTGGCTGTGAATATTTATAAGGGCTAATTCCAGGAGCAGAGAGATGTCTCAGCCACTGACCACACTTACAATGCAAGCCTGGACCACAGTTCAATCCCACAAAAGTGGGAGGAGCGACTTGTAATGATAACTCTTTCCACCAGCCGCCTGGGTTCTGCCGCCACTTTAGGGCCCCCAAATAACACAGAGAGACTTAATGTTAGTTACAATGCTGCTGGACAATGACTAGGATTTCTTATTTGCTAGCTCAGTTTTAATTATCAACCATAACTACTAATCTATATGTTTTTAATACAGACTTATCTTACCAAGGACACAGGCCTTATGGATCCTCTCCGGGATCACGTGGTGACTCTCTCCCTTTCCTACATTTCCCAGAATCCTCGTTCTTTCCTAGTCCCACCTAACTTGCTTCCCTATTGGCCAACAGTGCTTTATTTATCAACCAATAAAACAAACATACACAGAAGGACCTCCCCCATCAGAAACTGACTCCACAAAGTTGTCATCTGTTGTTGTCTGAGTTTTAGGTCCCCAGTAAGATCCGAGGATTTAATCCTGGAACCAGGGGTGTGACCCCACAGTTTGTAGTGTTTGCTTGGCATGCACAAGACTCTGCTTCTAGTCCCAGCATCGCTTAAAACACAGTGAAAACGGAATTATAGACTGATGCACGGGGCGTGGAAACTGATTTGTCAGCAGATGGGTGTGTGAGTGTTTTTCTCTGCTCTGCTGTTTTGTGACTCCATCTGACTATGCATCCCAGACTGTTCTTCAAGTCACAATCCTCCTGCCTCCACACAAGTCGGGGGTTTATAGACCTGCTGTACCAAAAGCTCGCAGTTTTTGAAATGGTTGAGACTTAACATCAGTGAATTCAGCTTTACAAAACACTCTTTGTTGAGACATGGTTTCTAGTGGCACAGGTTTGCTGATAATTTGCCCTGATGAAGCTAACCTTGAACTCCTGAACCCCCTGCCTCTCACTAGAGTCCAGGCATGTACCACCACACCAGGTTTAAGATTATCTTGCATGAGGAGGAACTCTACTCCAAATCCACCCATGTTAAGTCGACGTCACAGATTTCACCAAATTCAAAGTTACATTAAATCACCGTTTATTAAACAAGAGAAGACTTTGGCTTTACTAGTGTCAAGAAACAGAGGAGAAAAAGGTCACAGATCACACTGTTCCTAGTTTTTATTTTATCATCACATAATCGCATCAGATACACTTAATTTCCTAAGTCCTGTCCTGATTGTTACTTATTAAGATTACTCTGAATCTTCCCACACTGTTTCCTTTGCTGTCTTGACAGTCATGTGACTCCATGTTCCCCACAGCCATAGCACGGTCTCCCTAACAGTTTACAGTCTATTTTCTTTAGTGTTCAGTCTGAATTTCCACAGAGTTATTGGATGTCTCAAAAGGTTATGAGTCTGGGCATGATGGCACACACCACTAACCCAGCACTCAAGAGGCAGAGGCAGGCAGATGTCTGTGAGTTGGAGGGTCGCCTGCTCTGCACAGAATCTCTACAGTAAGACTCTGTCTTTAAATTAAAATTGTGTATATACTTGTAAAATCTTCTATCCGGTACACGTACCTAAATCTAAATTTCATGTCCACCCTTATCAGTGAATCTCTCACTTTGGTTGGCAGTCATAATCAAAAGAAGTGACAGCATAGATCCCTATCAATCCCTGCTGAGTGAGGTTCCTGAAGATACACACAGGCAGGGACCAGAGCCCTTCATCAGCTAAGGAGTCAGGAGATGAGATGCTCTCTCACCTCCATCGGCCGCCTTCCCTTTCTGCTCTTCACAAGAGGGTTGAGGACACTGGTCGGTGGGCTTGCTGAAGCAAGCTCTGGGCATTTGTTGCTGGTTTGGCTTAGGGTTTTGTATTTGTTTTGGTTGTGATAAAACACTGTATTTAGCAGTGGCCACAGCCCAGCACAAGTGTCTCTAGACTGTCAGTGTTCCCTCTAAGACAATAGCAGCGCCGCCCTTCATGTCAACTCGTCCATCAGGTCGCAGGGAAATGTCCAGTTCCCCTCCTCGGCAGGAACACTGAAAGGCTTAAAGAGAACACAAGAGTGGGGCCAGTTAAGAGCATTTCCCTGTGATTAACAAGCCATACAGGGAAGGAGTGATCGTTACAAACCCAGGCCAGTCTCCAGAATAAATCCCTTCATGTGTCCAGTCTCCCCCCCATTCTCCTGCAGACCCAGAGGACACAGCTGATGTGTACACACTGCCCAGCCCTTTCCTTCCTGGGCCTCTTCTGCTACTTCCTGCATTGCCCCAGCTGTGCCCACCTAAAGTGTCCCCTAGGAATACTTAAGGACGTGCTAAGAGATGGAGGTGGGAAAGGGCAGTCTAAGAAGGTGTAGAGAGGGGTCCTGGCTGTCCTGAGAAGGCCCCACCTCCCTTGCAGCTCAGAAAGTCAGATGAAGTTTGTTTCTTTGTAGAAGTTAAGACAACTGTGAGGCCAGGTGCCCAAGAGAGGCGCAGCCTCAGCCTTCCAGAGGCTCCATGCTTAGCAAATCATTAGAGTCGCCCAGAACAGAGAATAAGCTCCTGTTCTCCATATCACAGTCAGAGACTGAGCCCCCGCACTGATGATGGGCTAATGTAGCTTCCTTCAGCTGAGTTCCTTCTCTGTGAATGTGAGTTTTAGAGTCATTCCTGGGAATCTGGGCCTTCAGGAGGCAGGTGCATGCACCTGGCCATCCTGAATTCCACAGTAGGACTTCATCTCAAAAAGCCAGAGATTGAGCTATGACTCCATGGTATATATACCATTTGGCGAGCACTTAAAAGACCCAAGTTTAACACCCAAGCACCCAAAGAGGAGAGGAAGGGATGGGGAGAGCTAGCCTACCTCGCATTTCCTTCTTCCCCAGCTCCTCAGACCAGTAGGGGCCAAGAATAGTGTGTGCAGACCCTGGAAAGAAGTAACAAGCTATGACAGCAGGAGTGATGTTTCTCCAAATGTACCAACAATTACAACCACTCATCCAGTGTGACTAAACATTAGGTCATCCAGTCCTATGTCAAGGTGGCCATGGCAGAGCATGGAGTGAGGAAAGGGAGAGAGAAAATTTATGAGTAACTGCTTCCAAAGTACCTGTCAAATCTCTCCTACTCTCTCTGAAGCTGCATTCAACTTCAGGGTTATTCTCTGTTTGTTCTCTTCTTTAAAGACAGTCTTATGTAGCCTAGGCTATCCTACAACTAGCTGAGTTTAGTACTGAACTTTTCCCTCCTGCCTTAACCTCCCAAGTGCTACCTTGCCGTCTGTGCCAACATTTTCTCATGTGATTTACCCTAGGACCTGATCAGAGATTACACATGAAAATGAAGAAATGAAATATAAATAAGTCTTACAGGGTTCTGTGGCTCACATGTGTAATCTCAGCTTTTGGAGGTAGAGACAGAAGAGCCATGAGTTTCAGGTCATCCATAGCTAGCTAGAGAGGCCAAGCTAGGCTCAGACACGCTTTCTCAGGAAGGAAAGAAAAAGTCAGTAGTAACAAAATCTTGAGGGAGAAAAATGTGGTGTGGGAAAATTCCCCTCCCCCTAAAAAAGTTTGTTCAGAATTACGAGATGTCCTTAAGAGTAAACAGCCATACCAGTTTCCTTCTCCCAAGACCCCCGAGTCCCACTCCACCCCAGCAGCTCATCCTTCGTGGTCCAAAGACCATTTTAGAAAACACTGCACACACAATACACACTGGGTGTCTGTTCCAGTCTGGGGGAAACAGCTGTGTGTGTGCATGATGTCCGGGATCCTCTGCACTAGGGAGAGACTCCCTGGACCTCGTCGACTCTATGGCCATGTTCCTGAGTCTTCAGTTTGCCTTTGTGCTGAGCTTTGAGTTGGACTGTTTCGTTTCTCACTGAGGACTAGGTGAAGGTTCCAGAGCCATCCTGGCTCTTGGTGTCTGCAGTATCTTCCCAGCTCTTCAGTCCTGAACCTGCTTCCCCCAGCAACCCCTCCATGAGTCACCGTCACCCTTGGCTACATTGAGAGCTGTCCTCAAGGAGAATGGAAGTAGGAGGCACACAGTTCAGCCCATCTTTGATGTTTTCTCTCTGGTTCAGGCTGGCACAAGGTCTGCAAATGTTGACTCAGCGATCTAGGTGCATGTTAGTAAAGGTCTCTTGAAGGGTACTATGTAGCCCTCCCTTGTCTCAGTGAAGCCAAAAGCATAGGGAATAACTTAGCAACCTAGGATTATGCTTGGCTTGGGCTATGCTCTCTCTCTGAACAATGTACCCAGCAAGGAGTTAACAGATTAGGATCCTCCCAGCTCCTCAGAGCTGGAGGCATACCTGTTATAAACAGTGGGAATGCGTTCAATAAACTATTCCCCTTAGTACCTCCTGTTTCTATTCAAATACATTGTAGAACACAGTCTGAGAACTATGCATGGGCAATGGGTCGATGCATCCGAGACTGTTTGGAGTACGTGGGCAATAAGGCAAACTGTCTTCAAAGTGAACTTTTAGGAAGAATGCCCTAATCACTGTCTTAGGCCATGCATAATTGGGTGTGTATGTGATTAAAATCAGACACGTTATTGCAAGCAATGTGCCTAGGGAGGAAGGGCTTTCATAACCCGAACTTGTCAGTCAAAACAGAATCTCCCAAATTATGTTCTTAGTAAGCAAAGGCCTCTTTCTCTTGAACCCCATCAAAGAAGATGCCAGGGACTGGAGGGATGGCTCAGCAGGTCAGAGCATTTGGTGATCTTATGGAGGGCTGAGTTCAGTTCCCAGCACCCCAAACTGAACAGTTCACAACCATGTGACACTCCAAGGGTTCGCATAGCCTCTGTTGGCTTCTGAGGATACTACACATCCAAGTGCAGGCAGGCAGGCAGGCAGGCAGGCAGACAGACAGACTCTCTCTCTCTCTCTCTCTCTCTCTCTCTCTCTCTCTCTCTCTCTCTCTCTCTCCAAACAATAGTTGGAGCCCTCAGTAGGCACTTGCTCACATACCTCACTATCCGCCTTGACAGTGTGTCCTTTCTGATCTATGCTCTTGCTTTGAATGAAGCTTCCTCACAACTTTGTAACCTCTCTGGGCTTTATTTCAACTCTTGAATAAGATTACAAGGACCTGGTTATGCACGACAGACTCTGAGCACATGTAACATCAAGGGAAGAGTACCTGTTACTGGGTCTTCAGCCACACCAACCCACGGTGCAAAGTACCGGGAATAGAAGTCATATTGGGGTGTCTGACCCCCAGGCTCTCCTCTGAGAGTGAGAATGAGTCCTTTCACCTTCCCTGTCTTTTCAATTCCAGGCAGAGGCTCTGTGTTCACTTTCAGGGTCTCTAGAAAGGACCTTGAGCACAAGCAGAAGTGATCAGCAATAAGCATTTCACAGACCATTCCCTGCACAGCATAGGAAAGAGGCTGGGCTGTGCCCAGATGGCTCAGCAGAGGGAAGAGAGAGCCTGCCTTTGGCATCTGTCTATGGGAAAGAAAGTGTTTGGTCCAGGCATGATGGCAGATGCCTCTAATCTCAGCACTCGGGAGGCAGAGTCAGGAGGATCTCTGTGAGTTTGAGTCCAGCCTGGTCTACAGATTGAGTTCTAGGACAGCCAGAGCTATACAGGAAGAAAGGAAAGGGAAGGGGAAGGAAAGGGGAAGGAGGAAGGGAAAGGAAAAGGGAAGGAAAGGGGAAGAAGAAAGGGGAAGGGGAGGGAAGGGAAGTAAAAAAAAGTAAAAAGTAAATCATGCTTTGGTGAAAGCACAGCCTGATGGAAGCAGGGCTGGAAATCAGGGTGTTAGCATGTATATGGTTAAGCATGGCATTTACCTGTTGTAAGAGTCGCTGAGTCTGACCATGAGGTTTTTGGTATCTGGAGAATACCGGATATCCTGGACCAGGGTGTCACCTATGGCTGCCTGTGAAGCAGATCAAAAATGCCTCATAGGGCCGACAAGATAGTTTAATGAGAAAAGGTACTTGCTGAATTCAGTCACCCAGACTCAAATGGCAGGGGAGAGCACACTTCTGCAAGTTGTCCTCTGACCTCCAACCTCACACCATGGCTTGTGAGAGCAGACCAAAACTCCTCAGGGAACTAACTCTCAATCCTTTGTTAGATGTTTGTCTAGATGCCAGAAGCCTTGGGTCAATCCCCAGAACCACATGAACTGAGCATGGTTCTAGAAACCCAGGATTCAGAGGCAGTTAGGTTAGGAGTTCAGGATCAGCCTTGGCTAGTCAGCAAATGTGAAGTCAGGCTGGGACCCTGAGAGTCTGCCTCAAAAGCAATAAAATGAAACAGCCAAGCACACTCCTTTGACACCAGCACTTGGGAGACAGAGGTAGGAAGCTCCAGGAATTCCAGGAGTCAGGGCTGGCCTGGGGTTAGAACTTTCTTTATCCTGTGCTGCTCAGCAAACACACTGCCTTCATCATATGGGAAAGTCACTCTTCTCGGTCCAAAGGGGCTGAGGATGCCTGTTACCTTCTTCACCACCTCCTTTAGGGCTTCTCTCTCTGCCCCAAACACTCCATCTTATCCTGTCCCTCTATGGAGGTTGTATTGCTCATAGTCAAACCAAATGAGTCAGCTGTGATTGTATGAGCTGTAATCCCTGGTATTTGAGAGTCAAGAGAATTGCAAGTTCAAGGCTAGCCTGAGCTACACAGTGAGGAAAGAAATGTTACAACTCAATGAATGTTAGACACAATACTAACATTCTGAAACCATGTAGGCTTCCACAGCAGGATGGAGGGGATATTTTATGGGATCATGCCACACCGGAGCTTTCAAACACAAACACAAACACAAACACAAACACAAACACAAACACAAACGACCACTTCACAAGGCTCTAACTGGATTCTTTCCACCAACCTTTATCAAGTCTTCCACTTCATGGAAGTCCTAGAAGTGAGAAAGACATACAGTCAGTGCTGAACAGGAGAGCTGCAGGCTAAACGCAGTTTGTGGAAATAACTGTATGGATTACAATTAGACGTAAATAGAATAAGAAAGAGCTAACCTGGGGGAAGGCTGGGTAGAGAGGAAAGTCCAAGACAATCCCGTCCTCTGCTCTTCTGGCCTTTAGTTCCCCACTCATGGTGGCAAAGGTTAGAGTGCTGTTTGTGTTCTCTGGACAGAGGAGGAATCAAGAATCAGACAAGCAAAAGTGATTGTGTTTTCTGGGTGTTGGTCGATGTATCTGTGGTGGTGGTGGGGTATCTGTGTGTGTGTCTGTGGAATGAGCCCAGAGGGTCAATCATTCAAGTATCTCCCCCAAAACTCTCTTCCCCATACTCATTGGTCCTTTGTTTTCTAAATGGTGTCTCACTAGGTTATTTGGGCTGGCCTCGAATAACCTAGTGGCCCAGGAAATCTGTGAAATTTAATCCTCTCTTCTCAGCCTCCTGAACAACTGGGATTTCAGGCCTATTTCACCAACCTAAACTTGTCTTCACTCTTATCCTCTACCCACAGAAATAAAATCATTTTATTGTAATGATCAGAATTTTATGATTTGAAAGCAAAATGTCCCCAACAGTTGGTCCTCAGCTCGTGGTAGTGTTTTGGGGAGAGACACAGTTTGAGAACTGATCCACAGGTGAAAGGCCTCAGAAATGGCTTTTTTCAAGAGGGACACCTAGACTGATTGTCGGGGAGTAAGGAGTTGGTTAAATGCATTATTAACACCACCATGGGCAGACAAATAAAAAGACGGTAGAGGCCCTGAGTAGAGCTAAGTCTCCAGACCAGGAGAGAGATAGTATAGTGGGTTCTGAAGAGAGGAAATCGGTGCCCACGTGGCAGAAGTGGGGGCAGTCTCATACCTCTCTGGGGGTGGCTTCATAGCACAAGCCTGTGGCTAGGTGTCAGAGTCCCAGGGTATGTGGCCACCAGGACCTGCTTTGATATAAAATCACTACCATAGATGAGAGTTCCTGACACCAGGAAGTCTGTGACTTAGGGACTCAGTGTCTCAGTCAGGTGCCTGCCAGTGTCTGTGAGGGGAAAGGATTTCCCTAGGGTCTTGTGGCCTGAGCAGTGGCTGGATTCTAATGCTACATCCTCACCAAGGTCACAGGCCTTCAAGGGCTGTAACTTGACCAGCATCTGACCCAAAGTTATTGCTCTTTCTATAATCTCAGAGTTACTAGTGCAAGCTCTTAACGCTGTGGACCAAGCCGCCATGGCCACCATGATGGCCCTCATCCCCTGAAGTGTGAGCCAAACCAACCTCTTCTCCCTAATGCATTGTCATGCATTTTGTCACAGTGACAGGGAAGTAATGAGTATCCTGGATGCCGTGGTGAAGAGGCCTTGGCTAACTCACAACTTTATCTCCTCCTCAGGAACCTAAGGATGCTGGAGTCTGTAGGAAACACAGCAGGAGCTTTGCTCATGCCCCGAAGCCTCTGAGGATGCATCTCCTCTGGACCTAGCTCAGTGCAGGGGTTTCATCTTCTTCACTTCAAGTTCTAGTGTCCACCTTCTTAAACCGTGAGTCACAACCTCGTACGTAACTGCACGTGGATGTTGCAAAGGATGTGTCAGTAGCACGTGTCTTCTGAACACACAGCAACCAAAAATTAACTTAAAATCGTCTGTGTAGTGAGTAGAGAGTGTTTCTGGCTGTGTGGTGTGACTTCACTGTGGCCTTGAGACATGCACACCTTGCACTCTGCGTGCCTTCTCTCCCCACCCCAACGAAACACGTAGGCTAAGATCTGAGTCTATATACAATGCGTTTCTCTTACAGAAACATAATTATAGTCTGGCAGTGGTGGTGCACGCCTTTAATCCCAGTACTCCGGAGGCAGAGGCAGGCAGAGCTCTGTGATGTGAGTTCAAGACCAGCCTGGTCTACAAGAGCTACTTCCAGGACAGCCTCCAAAACCACAGAGAAACCCTGTCTTGAAAAACAAAACAAAAAGAAACATAATTGTTTACTTATAGGAAGCAAAGGTGTTTAATGGTTTTTTGATTGTCATTTGTCAGCTTGTAAGTATCAAATCAGTGTCTCTTTGGATTTGTGTTATTATAATGTTTGATTTTGCTTCTTATTTTTAGAAGGCAAAAGAATATTAACCTGTATGAGCGTTTTGCTTCATGTATGTCTGTGTGTACCATGTGTATATGTTGCCCTCAGAGGCTATAGATGCCCTGGGAGTAGAGTCAGAGAGGGTTTGTAAGCCAGCATGTGGGTGTTAGGAGTGGAACCCGGGTCCTCTGAAAGAGTAGCCGGTGCTCTTAACCACTGAGCAATCTCTCCAATTCCTAAAATGTTTTGAGTTTCAGCTAGATGTCTCAGTGGGTAAGGGCACCTGCAGTTAAGACTAACATCCTGGGCTCAATACTCCAGTCCCACGTGGTGGAAGGAGATAACAGACTGTGAAAATTGTCCTTTGATCACCACATGTACACTCTAGCATTTGTGCACACACAAAAATTAATTGACTAATTACAATGTAATAAAAAATTGTTTGGGGGATCTAACACCCTTTTCTGGCCTCCACAATCATGGCCCACACATGATGTACGGGTATATGAGCAGGCAAAAACACCTACATACATAAAAATAAAGGGAAAAAATTGATTAGGACCAGCACATCATTCTTCAGTGACAGGGTCCTGGGAAGGAAGGTCCAGGGGATCAGAGATTAACATGATAGAACAGGGGGCCTCAGGAGGTCTTGAAAAGCTGTGTCCTATGCCAATCAAGCTTAATTTTTGGTTGTGAGCCTAGCCTTTAACGGCTGAGCCATCTCTCCAGCCCCAAGCAAGCTTAATTAAGAAGTATAGAACCTTGCAGACTAGTTCCAGGGGGGAACTGGGACAAAGTCAGCAGAGACTGTCATACAACGGGATGAAGTCAGCAGGGAGCTAACCAAGAGATGCTGTACGAGGTGAACAAGGTATCTCCAGAGCATCACAGAGCAGGCACACAGTGATCCTGGGACTGACTGACAACTGTAGCCCTGTAGGGTGAGAAGGGTTGGGTTCTTATGATCTGAAGCCACAGCTCCCCCAAGGCCTTGGCCCCAGGCTGTTTCCAGCTCTGCCAAGCATATTCCTGGTCTCAGAAAAGAAGCTATGTTCTTTACATCAGAGGTTCCATATATAAGAGCCTCAGGGAAATCCTTGGGTCAGTCCAGCCCTCAACAATCACAACAACAAAGAAATTGCTGTTCCAGGAGCTGGGTGTGGTAGCTCAATTGGTAATACCAGCATCCGGGAGCAAAGGTGGGAAGGCTGCAAGTTCAAGCCCAGCTAGGCCTAAGGAGCAAGTTCCAAGCCAAACAGGGCAGGGAATGTGGCTCCTTTGGTAGTGCTTGCCTAGCATGCTGGAAGCTGGGGGTTCCATCACCAGCAACGCGTAAATGGTTTGTAGTAGTGAAAGCTTGTAATACCAAGACTTGGGAGTGAAGGCAGAAAAATGTTCAAGGCTATTTGGGGTGTACAAGGACCCAATCTCTAAATAAATAAATAAATAAATAAATAAATAAATATTATGACTTTAGGATCAGTAGGACATTATGTGGAGAATGGCTTGCATTTGTTTTCTAGATATTCCGTTATATGCTATGTCCATTCTGGCCATGCAGTACCCTCAGCCACATACAAATAAATTATGTTTTAAAAAGAAATTCACATTGCTAAGCCATGGTGGTTTGTACTATAATTATAATTCTTGGGAGGCAGAAAGAGTCGAATCCACCAGAATTTCAAGGCCACCATCATCAACCCAGGAAGTTTAATGCCAGCCTGAGCTAAATGAGACCTTATCACAAAACAAACAAATCACTATAAATAAACAAGCAAAGTCCACATTACTCATTTTGTGAAACAGCACAGCAGCAGAAGCCAGGGTGGCGTGGCCACATAGCGGGAACTCACTCTCAGGAGTAAACCACCTTAGTCCAAAGTGGGAACCTTCAGAGGGGCAGAGATAAAAGAAAAGCAAGATCAGACCCACACAGTTAGGTTAAAGATGCCTCAGCATCTCCTTCCCATAATCATCAGCATGGCTAGCAGGTAAACCTTACAAAGGGGTGAGCACCGGGTAGACAGACAGACATTCTGTTACCTCCTGGGAAAGATCCGGATGACTTGAGTTTGATCCCCAGGACTCACATCGTTGAACCAAAGAATTAACTCCTATAAGCTGTCCTCCAAACTCATACAAATGCTGTGGCATTTGCACGCTCTCGCACACACGCACGCACACACATGTAAAACAAAGCATTTAAATGTATATTTACTTTGTGTGAAGTTGGCGGTTGGTTGCAGTTTTCGGATAAAAGCAGTTTCAGAGAGGTTCATTTCCCTTGCAATGTGTTGATGAGAATCTTCATCCAATGTCTTAAATAGGGTGGAAAAAGGTTATTGACAGCCTGAACACAGATCTAACTTAATACAGCACCTTATGGCACCAAAAGTCATGCTTGGCATAGTGGCACATATCTTTAATTCCAGTAGAGACAGGCAGATCTCTGAGTTTGAAGCCAGCCTGGTCTACAGAGTGAGTTCCAGGACAGCCAGGGCTACACAGAGAAATCCTGTCTTGAAAAAAAAAATATATTGATAGATCCTTTAGCTCCAGTGTTTATTGATATTAGTGTTCTGGAGATAAAGTTACGAAACAACTCAAATTATTATCTGGTGAAACACAGCTATTACATGTACATATATTTATATCTATAAGTATGTATGTATATATAACTGTACACACACACACATATGAGTGACATGGAGACATGGGACAAATATAGTTAGATTCTTGACAAGCAATCCCACAATTGTTTGACAGGAAGTTGTGCTTGCCAGATTAAGCCTAGAGAAGGTTCCAATTTTGGAATCTGGGATCTGGTTGCTAATTATTCTCTCACTAATCTTTCCAAGCTCTTGTATTAGCAGATAAAGCCTTGTAATTCCTTTACCCTCTGCAGCTGGTGGAAGGAAAGTCTGGCTGCAGGGTTATTGATGGAGGAGGTCTGTCTCTCTCTCTCATCTCTCTAGCCCCAGATCATCAACTCCTTTATGCTAACTGCTCTAAGTAAAAGGGTGAGACATATTTTATTTTACTTTATTTTTTGAGGCAGTTCTCATTAATAGTCCCAGCTGGCCTAGAGCCTGCTATATAGCCCAGGCTGGCCACAAACTCATACTCCTCCAGCCACAGCCACTTCCTCTCTTTTATTTGGCCCCCTGTCATTGGAGAGGGTTGTGAGTATTGTGCTTCATGAAATACAGCATTGACTTCCAGTGTTATACTTCAGGGTTAAAAATACTGCCTATGAGATAACTTTAAAGGAGTTGTTCTAATGCGTACACACACAGATAGACGTTTGTGTGTGTGTGTGAGTGTGTGTGTAAGAGAGAGAGAGAGAGAGAGAGAGAGACAAAGAGACAGAGACAG